TCACGGAACAGCTTACCCAGTTAACAAATGGTCATCTGCTAGCATGTAAATTGTATATGTTCACGGAACAGCTTACCCAGTTAACAAATGGTCATCTGCTAGCATGTAAATTGTATATGTTCACGGAACAGCTTACCCAGTTAACAAATGGTCATCTGCTAGCATGTAAATTGTATATCAGTAAATAGTTTGAAAAAACTTGTTAATAAGCACCTTGAACACTAATGTAAAACTTCAATATGGCAAACTTAGCTAAAAGTTGTAGATCAATGAGGTAATATGCTCGCTACTTCATCAGAGCTACTTCCAGTTCACCAGTACTGGTAGGAGGTGAATTAGCTGCTACTTCCAATTCACCAACATTGGTTGGAGGTAAATCACGTGCTACTTCCAGTTCACCAATACTGGTTGGAGGTGAATCATGTGCTACTTCCAGTTCACCAATACTGGTTGGAGGTGAATCACGTGCTATTTCCAGTTCACCAATACTGGTTGGAGGTGAATTAGGTGCTACTTCCAATTCACCAACACTGGTTGGAGGTAGATCACGAGCTACTTGCAGTTCACCAACACTGTTGGAGGTGAATCACGTGCTACTTCAGTTCACCAATGCTGGTTGGAGGTGAATCTCGTGCTACTTGCAGTTCACCAATGCTGGTTGGAGGTGAATCTCGTGCTACTTGCAGTTCACCAATGCTGGTTGGAGGTGAATCACGTGCTACTTCCAGTTTACCAATACTGGTTGGAGGTGAATCACGCGCTACTTCCAGTTCAACAACACTAGTTGAAGGTGAATCACGCGCTACTTCCAGTTCAACAACACTGGTTGAAGGTGAATTACGTGCTACTTGCAGTTCACCAACACTGGTTGGAGGTGAATTACGTGCTACTTGCAGTTCATCAATCACGGTCATTGTGTTGACCAATCCATTCGCTTGATGCACCTTTCATCTAGGAAGTTCCTAAACAGTTGAACAGTTGTTAAGATCCATCAGAATAAAGTTATAAATATAAACATGAATAAATATAAACATGAATAAATATAAACATGAATAAATATAAACATGAATAAATATAAACATGAATAAATATAAACATGAAGCCCAAATGACCACTTGTCGTGGTGATCCCACCCATCATCAGTATCCTTGGACAAGGCTAGGCTTCTTATAATGATGGAGTGTATATCATGTACTCAGTTTCAAGTGATGAATCGAATCACAGATTCCGTTTAATATTCATTTTTTAATAGTTTGAATAGCTTGTCCGCCGAATAATTCGGAAGAATAAATTAGTAGTATCAATACTACGTCTTCTTGAAATCATATATAATATAGGTCCACTGTGGTGGCCGAAAGACAACTAAAAACGCCACTCTAGATAAAACTATCGCGGGTTCGAATCCCTGTCGCCGAATATGCTCGCCCTTTCAGCCGTGGAGGTGCTATAATGTGACGGTAAATCTCACTATTCGTTGGTAAAAGAGTAGCTTAAGAATTGGCGGTGGGTGGTGTTGACTGGCTGCCTTCCCTCTAGTCCATCACTGCTAAAGTAGGGACAGCTAGCGCAGATAGCCCTCGAGTAGCTTTGTGCGAAATTCTAAACAAACAAACAAACCTAACTGAAAACTATAATTATCCCTTTGGTATTTTGAAGAACGTAGTCACAGAATTTAAATGTTTATAATTTGTTTGCATGAACGATACCTGCTGTATACAGTGGACTGAACGGCCAGGTCAGGGTTCATCATAGCTGTTCTTAATTCTGTATTGTGGATAAGTTGGAAGCACCCATTCATCAACTGAAGTGGCTTCTCTTGGCTGAATAGCAGGATTTACTGTTATTCTTATAACACACCCACGGCTGAAGCATGTGTGGTTGCACCACGTTCTGATATCAAGTCCTCGGATCCCCATTCAACAAACTAACCATTAGATCCCCATTCAACAAACTAACCCTTAGATCCCCATTCAATAAACTAACCCTTAGATCTCCATTCAATAAACTAATCCTTACAAACCCATTCAACAAACTAACCCTTAGATCCCCATTCAATAAACTAACCCTTAGATCCCCATTCAACAAACTAACCCCTAGATCTCCATTCAATAAACTAACCCTTAGAAACCCATTCAATAAACTAGCCCTTAGATCCCCATTCAACAAACTAACCCCTAGATCTCCATTCAATAAACTAACCCTTAGATCCCCATTCAACAAACTAACCCCTAGATCTCCATTCAATAAACTAACCCTTAGATCCCCATTCAACAAACTAACCCCTAGATCTCCATTCAATAAACTAACCCTTAGAAACACATTCAACAAACTAACCCCTAGGCCTCGTTCGGGGGATTTATATTCATATCTCCCCAATCTCTTCATGTACAAAAGCAGCACATATTTGTAATTTATGTAGTTTGCTACTTGTTTTGTTAATACATTACCGGATTACTGGAAATCATTCCCATTTTGCCCCTGAAGAAGAAAGGTCCACCTTTCGAAAACGCTCGGGTTATAGGGTTTTTTATTCATTTCTATCAAGACTTCTTGAACCTATGCGTGTTTCTAACATCACAAGTATTAAGTATGCCACTCTCTGATATTATGTACTTAATATTTGCACAATTATACATAGTTCTAGGTTCTGATTAGGAACGTCCTAAATCTGGTCGAGATCGCGCTAAATTCAGCTCCATTGTTACTTTTCGTGGGTTTCATATCGGAAACAAACTCTGTGTTATGTAATGGTTGTGCAGTATATTACTTTATGTGGTGTATGGAGGACCGCTTTACGACTGTCACGTGAAACAGACGTAGTTTTAAATTCTTGTGATATAAGTTTCTGATAGGTCAGCTACAGAGAGAATACAATTTGAGATTTTCAGACAGAATCAAAACTTACTGTTTAATTTTCGTCGTTGTTTCAACCTTTAATCATGTTACTTTTGTTAATTATTTTGGGCATCTTTACTTCACTTTTAAACTCCAAATTAACGTATTAGAGTGTAATAGCCATTTTCATCTGTACGATAGGCCGTTCTGTCTTCTCCAGCATATAAAGTGTTTATTTATGTCTTGTCTCTTTCATTCCACCAATAACAAATCACACTACACATTACCTCCCACATACTAGTTCCCCGAACCTTTATTATTGCATGCTTGGTTTATCTGGGAAATTCCCAGACGTGCTGTAATTCTGTTTTTCACAACCTATTATATAATAATTCCAAGCCTTCAATCATTTTTTATTAAAATATTTTAGTTATTTTTGACCGTACATGTCCTAATTTATTCGATTTGTTTATTTGTTTTTAAACCCAAAGCAACACAATGGGCTATCTGTGCTCTGCCCACTGCGGGTATCGAAACCCGATTTTTTCGTATTGAAAGCCCTTAAACTACTGATGAGCCACCGGGGGGGGGGGGTTAATCGAGACTTTATGTCTAGCATTTCATTCGTGACGTATAATATTAAGCCTTTTTTAAGCAAAACTAGTAAATGTGTTTGGGAAACTAAACGAATGATTAGGCCTAGCATCAAGTTCGGGTATCACTTTAGTATAGATTATATTACCAGCTGGAAAGAACTTAAGTGTTAATGATAATAATGTAAAACCTTAGATTTGGTTGCATTTCATGTCATGTATTGATTTTTTTGTTCACTCAAAACTTTGAAACCGTTAATAAAAACTGTTAAGTATTACGCATTTTAAGTTAAGGTCATATTCGCTCGCCATATGATAGTGTTTTGATGATGTCCCTTGGTAATACAACTGGCGAGAACATACATCTCTAAACTAATAAACACACACACAAAGGGGAGAGAACCTTTTTATGTAACATGTAATTTGCCAATGGTTGAAATGGTTTCTTTTCAAAGTTTCAATTTCGGTTTGATATTACTTTTTTAATATAAAATTTACTAAATTGTTTTATGCAACAAAAGGAATTTGACATAAAAAGGTTTCACCTGCAGAATACCAGTGAATATTAAGCTAGGTCGGAAGTGGGCAAGCCCATAGATTTCAAATTGAGTTTTCCTGAAAAGAAAAACACAATATTAATGCTTTATGACACTTTCAGACTGTTGCTGAAAAGTTAATTTACATTTTACAGCGAAAACCAAGATTAAGAGAAACTAAATTTAGATCGATTGATAAGAAAACGTTAAAGTCAAAATGTACCAATTTCACAAGCGTAGTTTAGAAAGAAACAACACGATTATTTAGTAAATACGTTTTTATATTTGTTCTAATACATTTGTGCACCATAGCACGAAGATGGTGTGTTTTTTTATTTACTGATGTTACATAGAATATCACAGACACACTAAAAATCATCA